GAAACACACTCTTTGCTCCACTTTAGTGTGTGTAGTGCGAGTGCGGCCATCCTCTTCGTTTTCATGGTGCTACCGTTAGGTCGGTGACAGAACGTACTCTTGTACTACCACAAACAAAAACGGGTGCAAAAATATTGACAATAAAAACAAAAAACGAAAAAAAAAAAATCAAAATCAAAACCAAAATCCTCTCTCTGTCTCACTCCACAATTCTCTCAAACTCTTCAACAAATTCCGTAATAGTAGTCACCTCACCCACAAAAGAAAGTCGAAAATTTGGTGTGGGGTTTTCGTTTGGGACTTTGACAGCCTCTGATTCTTTGTTTTCGTTTTCTCGTCACATCGAAAATGGCCACCGAGAAAAATTACAGGAAGACTTCGACGGTAGAGATGATGATCGGAGGGGAGCTTGGGAACCCCTCGTCGTTTTTGTCATCGTCGTCGTCAAACGGCGTCGTTAGCCCGTCTCCATACTACGATCCTCTTGGTCTTCCTCTTCACGACGATCACCGTTTCGTGCGTAACTCGTCGTTTGGCAGAGCTTCTCTGCCGTCTGAGCACTCTCCTTCGAGCTCTTCCTCGAATGGGCTCTTCAGCTATTACGACGACGGTTATCCGCCGTTCTCTGCGGCGTTTGAGGACACTCCTATGCACCAGACTCGGACTAAAACTACTACAAATCGTTCCTCCATTAATGGGCAGTGGTCGAACTCGAACCCGATAAATGCTTATTCTGATCACGACGAAGTTGATGACCTGGGATTGTCTGAGATATTCTACAGAATGAATATCGGAGATAATAAACAAGAGGGACGAACCAAAACGAGGGGATTTGGCATGGAGAGAGATGGGTTTCTGCTCGAGGATTTCGACGGTTTTAATGTTGATATGAGACTTGGACAGGAATGTTATTATGTGGGAGATTCAAGGAACTCCCAAATGGGTTGTTACAGCAGGGAAGTTGAATCAATGGACCCATTTGCCAGGCCTTTCTTTGCTGATGAATCTGACTTTGTTTGGTCACAATCACATGGACTTGATTCTAATGGAGGAATGGGTCTTAGAGGGGGTTCATTAAGTCCTGAGGTGGTTCAACTCATGAATCTGGCTCTGAATCTGAACACTCCATTAAGGACCAAACAAAACTTAAGAGGAAGAAGAGGTGACTTGGAGGGGTTTAGCTGCGAAGACAGTTTCATCATTGAAGAAAAATGCTTGAGGAAGAATTCTCATAATGGTCATGTCAGGATTCCGAATGTGAGGGACCGAAGTTTTGGCCTAGTGGATTGTCCTTCCTCTTATGGAGGATGTTATGAGAATGGATATGGTTGGAGTGGTGAATTGCCATTTGGTTCCCAACCAAGATATTCTTCATTGCTTGGTACAACGGATTATATGCTCATGTTAGCGAAGGATCAGGATGGTTGCCGACACTTACAGAAGCTGGTTGATTATGGAACATATCAAGATGTGCAGATAATATTCCGTAATGTAAGCAATCACGTTGTCGAGCTCTCGACGGACCCTTACGGCAATTACCTTGTGCAGAAGCTGTTGGACGTTGTCAGCGAATTACAGAAATGGCATATTGTGCGAAAGATGGTCTGGAGACCAGGACAGCTTGTCAGTATTTCTCTAAACTCATACGGGTAATCCTCCATGGAATCAATTACTTGTTGTCCCTTTCATAGTATTATGTTTTTTATTTTCTTGGCCTTTTGATAATTCTTGTACTGTTGTATCAGCACACGCGTGGTACAGAAGTTGATCGAGACTGTGAAAGATACAAGTCTTTTATCATCGGTTATATCAGCCCTCAAGCCTGGTTTTCTTGAGCTTACTATGGATTTGAATGGAAATCATGTCCTACAGCGTTGCTTGCAGTGCCTCAGCAGCGAGGAAAATACGGTAATACCATCATTTTCCTTTTCTTTTTAGCTTGACTGTTTTTACTAGCTATGGTGTTTCTTTTGTCTTTTTGATTTTTCTTTGCTGTTGTGTGGCAACCTAGGATGTAGACCTGTTAAAGTGGAAGGGCAGTAAAGCGAAATTCGCATAAGGAATGTGGATAAACTTGTTTATTATGCCTATCTGCGTTAAGAGCACGTGTACGTTGCAGGACCAAAGGACATTCATTTTAATGAATGTGGAATCCTTGTGATAGGAAAACAGACCGTTTAAAACGGTATGAAAGCTAAGAAAAAGTATTGACCCATTTCGAAAACAATGTATTAACTCTTAAGAGTCAAGTGAACACGCCAAATGAGCAACTGAATTATGTAAATCATCTTGATTTATACCATCAAACGCCTGATTTTTCTTTCTCAGGCTTCCTCTATGTGTCCAAGTCTCCTGGATACCCTACCACTGTGCTCTTTATATGACTTGCCATAACTCTCTCTGTTGAAGATGATTCTGAAGTGTTTCTCTTTTTAAACAATCATTCTTTTGCAGTTTATTTTCGATGATGCTGCAGAGAATTGTGTTGCAATGGGAACTCACAAGAATGGATGTTGTATGCTGCAAAAATGCATTGAACACTCCACCGGAAACTTTCGGAATAAATTGGTAAAAGAAGTTTTAAAAAATGCTTCTCTCCTTGCTGAAGATCCTTACGGGTATGCAATATTGCATCCAGCGTCTGTACTTTCTCACTTTGCTCCTGCATTATGTATTTATTGTTCTGCAGTCTAATTTCCTCATCTATCAATGACACTTAACATTGATTATATACCAAAAAAATCTTGTAATTGCTCATTTCATTAGTACTGGGCAAGCTGGTTTGATCTTTTATAAAATGTGGTGTGTTATTCAGTAAGAGGCATTGCTCGTTATTTGTGTATGGAATGCAAATACAAACTTTAACTTAAGTAGTTAGACATTTTAAATTTGCAATAATGAATATTTCCCCTAAACATGTCTAAAAAATGGTTGTATGAGCAGTTTATTATGTATGTGAAACTCCCATATTGCTCTCTAACTGTTCCTTTCTATATGCAGGAATTTTGTTGTTCAGTTTCTCATGGAGCATATCCCATCTGCCACTGCCAAATTGATTCCTCAATTCAAAGACAACTTTGCACGTCTTTCAATGCATAAAGCTAGCAGTCATGTGGTTGAAAAATTCCTCAAGTATTTTCAATACAGCCATAAGATAATCGTCGATGAATTGATCAAGTTTGGCCCCTTTGAAAGCTTGTTGCAGGACCCTTTTGCTAACTATGTCATTTCCACTGCTCTTGATTGCACAAAGGCAAGGAATCCAAGTCTAACGCAACCCTTTGTCTCTCCCAGTTTCGCTTCTGCTTCTAACTTTCTACTCTTCATTTTCAGGGCTCTGTTAATCGTTCCCTCGTCCAAAAGATCAGGTCTTTCCTACGCACGGTGCCACCCGGTCCATACTGCAAGAAGATTTTCTCTCATCCCTTGGTGAACAACTAATTTGTTCTAAAATCCTATATCACATGTAAAAAAAAAAAAAAAAAAAAAAAAAAAGGAAAAAGGTTTTTTTGCGCCCGGAGGGACCTTGGTGAACAACTAATTTGTTCTAAAATCCTATATCACATGAAAAAAAAAAAAAAAAAAAAAAAAAAAAAGGAAGAAGTTTTGTTGTGCACTGCTAGGAAACTAAATAATAATTAAACTATCTATCTTGAATTTCTCCCTGAGCTGAAAGGCAGGTATAATTTAGCCAGGACTAGGAACAACCATGTTGCGTTTATGTTATACATATATGGATGATTTCCATATATAAGACCCGCGCACATGAGTTTTGTTGTGTTCTACATTTGTGTCGTCTGTCTATTTCTTTTGACCAAACTTTTAATTTTCTATGTATGTTGGTGTTGTGGTATGTTAAGAGTACGTGGTTGTGTAGTGTGACGCTTGCCTTTCTTTCTTAAAGAAGTCTATTTTATGTTCTATTGATTGTTATATGATAGTTTTATGGATTCCCAGCGGATTCTATTGCATGTCGTTTGCACGCAGATTGTTGTTCTGTAAGAAATGATTGTCTTTTCATTGATTGTCTATTCGGTATTGACAAACTAAAAAACTTGTGCATGTGTTTAATTTATTGCGTTGCACTAATGGTTTTAATAGTGTTATATTATCTAGTATTATTAGGATTTGTGTTTCTAGAAATTCGTAAAGAGCAATATGAAGTAACTATTATTTTATCATCTAAAATAATCTCCACAATAATGTTAAGCATTCAACTAACAATCTCTTTCATGTAATGCAAGATATTCTAATACCTCGTCTCACAAGAAAATATTTCACACATGACACAACCAGATTCACAAACCTTTATATCTGAAAGTACGTTTGGATATAATAATTTATAGATTGGAACGATATTTTATAATTTGCGATGGCTTAATTAAAATATTTGCACTGACAAGTTTAACTACAATTATTGTTCAATGTGGTAAATTGGGAAACCACAGTATCAACGAAATACATGACTTTTTATTTTTTATTTTTTTTTTCCTCAATTTAGTCAGAGCTTTATTAAACTTGTTATTGTATAATAAGTGTATCTAGGAATAGTGTACGGATTGGGGCGGCGATAACATCTGAGAAATAACGTACATGGTTGGCCTAGATTGTGGCTCAATATTTAGACATGCAATTACAACACTTGCGACGGTCCTGAGTTCAATCTCGACTTGAGTTGTAGGAGGTGGGAGGCGTTGGTCCAAAATTTCCATCAACGTCGACATGATTAGCGAGTTTCCACCGTTCGATTGCGATGACAAGGAGAAGATGAAATCTCCCGGCTGCTTTCCCATCATAACTTCTAAAGCCAAAACTCCAAAGCTATAAACATCACATTTCTCCGTTACTTTCATTGTATATGCAAGCTCTGCCAACAAAGAAGAGAAGTTGTCGTCAAACTAAACATTAAGTATTCCGTACTGTGATTAAGGTCGGACTGGCGAGCCAAATTGTAAGTGAAATAATATCAAGGAAAAAGCAGGGAGGAATTCCTACTATGACATTATAAAGAGTATATGCGGTAATATTGGTATTTTTAGTATTTTTGTACCTTATATTTTAATATTATAGAAAAATTATTTTTAATATTTTTAATTGTTGCAAGTATTTACTGGGAATTTGTAAGGCAAGAACTCTCCTTTTTCCCTACCGTTAGAAACTGTTGTCTAGTTGTTGGATGGACTTTTTAGCGGTTTTAACCTATAATTGAAAATAGTTCTGTGCTGCAAACTTTTAACGCAGTCAATTACAGATTTGAAAAATTAACGCAATGGCTAAAACTGGAATTCCAACTGGAAATTAGGGCAAAATAAGAGGAAAGAGT